GTTGTAAAGCTGGGTATTGTGACTTATGCCTGTAACCCAAGAACTCAAGAGGCTGAGGCAGGAGGATCACGAATTCAAGGCCAGCTTGGGCAACTTATTGAGATCTTGTCTCAAAATGAAAAGTGTGGGGCTGGGGATGTGGTTCAAGCGGTAGCGCGCTCGCCTGGCATGCGTGCGGCCCGGGTTCGATTCTCAGCACCACATACAAAGATGTTGTGTCTGCCAATAACTAAAAAATAAATATTAAAATTCTCTCTCTCTCTTTCTCCCTCTCCCTCTCTCACTCTCTCTTTAAAAAAAAAAATGAAAAGTGCTGGGGATGCAGCTCAATGGTAGAGAGCCTCTGGGTTCAATCCCTGGTACCAAGCAATATTTATAAGTAAAATAAAATAAAATAGTCATTGTAGATTATGAGAGAGTTTGTTGTCCAGAGAAGTAAAGTTGCATAGGTACACAGCACTGAAGGCCTGCTGGTGGAGTCAGTGATACCAATCAGTCCCATCAGGTGACATTTTCCATTCTGTTTGTTGACTGGGTACAGGCATGCAGAAAATAGAGAGCGAGGCTGATCCAGATTCCAGGCTTCATTAGGTAAATGCAATAAAAATACAAGAGGATTTTAACCAAGCTTTAACCTGGCTAAGAGGGCAGTAAAGGAAGGAAAGAATTAAAGGGTAGGGAGACAGAGGCCAGCCACAGAGAAGTCTGAAGGGAGACAGAGGATAGGTACCAGCCAGTGGGAAGCAGAGGGTCGGGCTCCTATCCACAACATTCATAATATTATCCCCACCATCTTCCTTTTATTTTTTATTTTTTTATTGATTAAAAAAATAAGCAACAGCAGAATGCATTAYAATTCTTATTACACAAATACAGAACAATTTTTTATATCTCTGGTTGTACCTTTTATTTTTTCATTCCATTATTTAGTGTTTCTCACCCTCCCTCCCCACTTCCTGTCTCCCCAGCTAACCTCTTTCAAGAGTTCCTGTCCTTAGGGTTGGCAGTGTAGTTCAATGGTAGAGCATGTGTCTAGCAAGAGCCAGGCCCTAGGTTCCATTCCCAGCAGTAAAACAAAACAAAGCAGCCCAGTGCGTGGTGCCGCCTGTAATCCCAACAGCTTGAAGGCTGAGGCAGGAGGAACTATGAGTTCAAAGCCAGCCTGAGCAACTTAGCAAAGCCCTAAGCAACTTAGTGAGACCCTGTCTCTAACTAAAATGTAAGAAAGGGCTGGGGACGTGGATCAGTGCTTAAGAGCCCCTGGATTCAATCCCCAGTACCCTCCCCCCAAAAAAAATGAAAGTTAACAAAGGGATGGGGATTAAAAAGGGGGGATGGGGATGTAGCTCAGTGGTAGAGCACCAGTAGGTTCAATCCCCAGTATTGGGAAAAAGAAAAAAAAAGGGAATAACATGTCCCTCTGCCACCTACCACCAATTCTGTACCACTAGGTAGACCTGTCCTGTCCAAGAACCAGCTGGGTGGCCAATACCAGTGGAACAGAGTCTCAGACCTCCTCGTAACTACCTTTGGTACCTTCTCTACCTGCAAAAGGGGGGCAGGAGGGCAGCCTGCCCTGTTGGCAGGTGCTATAGACCCTCCACCTACCCGCAGATCTTCAGGCTGACTCGAAGCAAGGTGGATGATGAGAAGGCCCGCATCCTGATCCGCAGCCTGCTTGACCACCCAGCCCTCAGGGAGCTGGACCTGTCACACAACCTCATTGGGGACCGTGGTGCACGTGCTGCTGCAAAGCTGCTCAGCCACAGCCGCCTGCGCGTGCTTAACCTGGCCAACAACCAAGTGCGTGGGCCGGGCGCGCAGTCGTTGGCTCACGCCCTGGCGCACAACACCAACCTCATTTCCCTCAACCTACGCCTCAACTGCCTGGAAGATGAGGGAGGCCAGGCACTTGCCCATGCCTTGCAGACCAACAAGTGCCTTACCACACTGAACCTTGGTGGCAATGAGTTGTCTGAGCCCACAGCCACGCTCCTCGCCCAGGTGCTTGCCATCAACACCACGCTCACCAGCATTAACCTGTCCTGCAACCACATCGGGCTGGTGAGTCCTCTCTTTTGGGGCAGGCAGAGGGTGAGTGTGGAATCCACTTACCATGGGAAACCTAGCACAGTGGTGCAGGCCTGTAATCCTAGCAACTCGGGAGGTTGAGGTAAGAGGATTACAAGTTCAAGGCCAGCCTCAGCAACACGGATAGGCCCTAAGCAATTTAGCAAGACCCTGTCTCTAAAAAATATGAAAGGCTGGGGTGATAAAGCAACCCTGGGTTGCCTTTATCACTAAAAAGACAAAACAAAACCCAACTGCCATGGGACCCTTGCAGGACAAGTATCGAGAGGTTATAGATGGGGGCTGGTGGTATGACTCAGTGGTGGGGCATTTGCCTAGCATGAATGAGGCCCTGGTTTGATCCCCAGCACTGCAAAAAAAAAAAAAAAAAAAGAAAGAAAGAAAAAGAAAAAGAAGAAGAAGAAATCACAGCTTGAGTTACTACACTCTGCACTGAATATGCATACATACTATGCTATAATATATGCATATGCAATAATATCCAATATTTTTCCTTTAATCTTTAAATCTATACAATCAAATGGGAGGGTTGTTTTGTTTTGTTTTGTTTTGTTTTTTGCTCTGTTTTGACAAAGCTGGGGTTCAAGCCTACCAATATATTCCCAACCCAGCCTGAGTCCTTTCTGACAGTGCTTCTCAAACTTCCTTGACCAAGTCCTGGAATACAAAATACAAGTTACAGGGCTGGGGTTGTGGCTCAGTGATAGAATGCTTTCCTGGCACATGTGAGGCACTAGGTTTGATCTTCAGCACCACATAAAAAATAAATACATAAAAATAAAGGTATTGAGTCATGTACAACTAAAAAATATTTTTAAAATATGCAAGTTACATCCAGGTTTGGTGGCACATGTCTGTAACTTCAGTGACTTGGGAGGCTGAGGCAGGAGGATTGCAAATTTCAGGTCAGTCTCAGCAACTCAGCTAGACACTGTCTCAACATAAAAATTGAAAAAGGACTAGAGATATATATAGCTCAGCATCTCTGGGTTTAACCCCCAGTACCAAAAAGAAAGTGGAAATTCAAGTTTCATGAACACCCAGTGGACATGCACAAAAATATAATATCATTGAAATTTATATTTACTGTCTGTGATTTATCCTATTTTCCTTTAGATTCTATTTTATTTATTTTTTAAAATGCTTCTGTGACCCATTAAATTGACTTCACAACACACTATTGGGATACAACCACAGAACAGCAATATTCCACCTCCCAAGGTGTCATTCTTTCACACTGAACCTTCCATGAGAACAACCTTGCACTCTCGCCCACTATGCCTGTCAGGCATGCACCATGTGCACCATAGATATGCTCTTGGCTGCAAGTAACAGAAAACTGAGCCAGGAAGTGACTTAAACAGGAGGAATATTTAGGATCTCACGTAACCAGAAGCCCCAGATCCTGGAGCTGACAAATCCCTCCATTCAGTGCCTCTGCTTTGCCCAACCCAGTCCCATGGCCATGGCCTCTCTGATGCTCCCAAGATGGCAGCTGAAGTTTTAACATCTCATATGGGGACATGCCCAGAGGCAGTAAAGGGGAGAGCACTGTTCCTCTCTCCTTTTTTTATTTTTGTCACCCTGCCCAACTTCCCCCTCACATCTCCCTAGACAGAATAGTCCCACATGTCCAAGACCTACCCAGATGCTAGACATCCAAGTTTTTCAAATCACTGAGACTGAAAAATAAATTTAGGGATCTTGACCACCATTTTTCAGGTAGAATGGGACCGAACGGGTCAGCATGCATAGATAGGTTAAGTATGGCTTTGTGAAATTGTTTCAGTCATATCCATATTAAAATATGTGTGTGCATGTGATCCTGGGTGATGATGAAAAGTGACCCTTCCCTTTTCCTACTGTCCCAGGATGGTGGCAAGCAGCTCCTGGAAGGCATGTCAGACAACAAGACCCTCCTGGAATTTGACCTCCGCCTATCAGATGTAGCCCAGGAGAGCGAGTACCTCATTGGCCAGGCCCTCTGTGCCAACCGGGAAGCTGCCCGTCAGCGGACCTTGAATCCTGGCTATTTGACGTCTCCCATCATTGCCAATGACCCTGATCATTCTGTGGAATAAGAGGGGGGACAGGGACCTGACTTGGGTCATTACCTGAGCTCCATCCAGAATTTCATGCTTTTGCTGGGCACTCTGCTGCAGAWGTCACAGTGGTTCAGAGGAAGGGGGAGGGGAGACCAATCCTTGAAGTGAGTGATAGAGGGTCATAGGCAAACGGATGGGAGGTGGGAAGGGGAACTGGGATAGGGAAAGAAGAGGTATAAAGCAGACACCTAGTTTGGGGACCCAGAAAAAGGATTACTGGACCCCACGAATAACCAACTCCTTCCAGCAATAGGTAAGGCAGAGAGGACTCTGAGGACTGTACCTGATCAGATTTTCTCCTGTGAGGGCTGCCCACCTCCCTGGCTCACCACTCCCATATTCCTCTCTGCTGTGCAGACCCGTAACCTTCAAGTACATACACACATTCTCTCCCTCTTCCTCTCTCTCATTCTCTCCTTTTCCCTCTCCTCCTCTCTCTCCCCTCTGGCTACAGCAGAATCATGCCTGGCTCTTTCTGCCACCTTCCTGTTGCCTGATTCTATAAGGTCAGGTTCTATAGGTCACACCATCCCCTAATCCCCAACTCTCAACTTGAGAAGGGGACAATGGGTGACAGGAGCTCAGACCTCCCTTGAGGAGGCAATCATAGAGAATGACTGCTGGGGAAGTGTGGTATTACTCCTGCCATCCACCCCAGGGAGCTTCTTGCCGGAGAAAGGAGATAGGGAAGGAGCGCACGCTGGGAAAGAGAGGTCAGTGAGTCATCCGCAACTTTATTATCCACCAGTTTGATTTGTACAATCTTTGCGCTTGGATATCCACAACAGAAAGGCCACAGTGTGATGCACCCAATTGACAGAGACCTGTCTTCTCCCCAGCCAGGCCCAGCCCACCCCACAAGCCCTTGTCCCCAGGACCATGGAGCCTTCCAGGTGCTCTCCATGAATCCCCAGCACTCTGTGGCTGCCCAACCTGGGACCAAACCCAAAGGAATCACATCAGCCCATGGGGCCACAAGAGGACCTGACTGATGGATTCAGGCTGAGCTTCATCCTCCATTCTCTTTGGGCTGAGTGGCCCAGAGCCTCCAAATCCATGTCCCCATAGGGCGGGCCATGGGCTACAACCACAATCCAGGAGTGCCTGCCTTCTAACAAACAGGCGCTGAGCAGAGCACCAAAGGGGGCTTGGGAGTGACTGCAGCATGTACCTGTCTGGGCCACCTAAAGTCCTTCCATGCCTGACACCCTCTGACAGTTCCGGAGTGCAAACGTGTAGGTGTGAGGGTAGGTGTGTGTGTAGCCACAGCTGCTAGCAGAGGTTCTAATTAGAGAAACAAGAACATTCAGTGTAAAGTTTAATTTTAGAGATTAATTAATTTTCTGGTTTTCGTTTTCCCTGGCAATCAATAAAGTCACCAAGAAAATAGACCAAAGAATTGGTTTCTCTCTAAGTCTGTGCGTGTGTGGGAGCTGAGTCTGTGTGAGAAGACCTAGGCAGAAATGGTCCATTCAGGGGAAAAGTATAACAGGGCTCCTCTTCCCATCTTCTGAGGCCAGGCTGTGGTCTCAGGACTGGGCCTGAGGGAGGAGCCAAGTATCTCCAGCCTTGGAGCCACAAGGTGGCCAAAATGACCCCATATGGGGACAGGACATCCATGTGCCAGGCCAAGAACTGGGGCCTGAGGCCACAACTCACCACCTGTACCTCACAGATGTCCATTCAGAGGAAAAGAGGGTGTTCCTGCTTCCAGATCCCTGAGAAGCACAGACTCAGGGTCCAGGCAGGTTTCATACTGGCAGGCAGGTGAACACTGATGCCCAGGAAAACTCAGTGGGCAGCTGTTCCCTTCTGCCCAAACCTCTCCCTCTCTGACGTCCTCTCCCTCCTCACTCAGCTATCTATGATGTAATTGGAAAGTTCAACTCCTTAATGAGCCATGGGCTATGGCGTCTCCACAATTTGTCCATTCCCTCCACCCCCATTTCCTCCTGGGAAGGAGGGAAGGGGAGCCAGGGTGATGTTGCATAGGTGGAGGCCACACCCCTCTATAGGGCAGGCCTGGCTGGGCTGGAGGAATATGGGAGAGGCTGGAGGTGGAGATCTGATGGCTGAGGCAAAGCAAGAAGCAGCAGGGGTGGGCCGTGCCTGGGTGGCCCCAGGGAATCCCGTCTAGGCTGAAAAGTGAGCTCAACCCTGGGACGCTAAATCTGCTGGGAAAACCTTAGTTGGGAGGGCATGGGTTGTACAAGACATGCACACTGACACACACTGGAGTGGAAGAGCACGGGGGAGAGAAGTTGGTGTCAGAGCTTTAGGGAAACAGGACAGGAGGCCAGCGCCTTAGGGCAGTGGCAGGATGCCCTTCTGAAGACCCTGGAACACACAGCAGGGCTTCAGCTTGTGGGATAGAAGAAGATGGAGTGGTCAGGCAAGATTCGGAGAATTCCTGCCTCTGACCCTGCCACTGGAATTGAGTATTTCTCCAGCTGGGACTTATGACACCATCCTCAGCCCCAGAGAGGCGTGTAAAAGGGGCAAGCACATTCCACTCCTCCACATGGTTCTGGGGGAGGAAAGGGCTGCCACCCAGGCACCCCTATCTTTAGAGGTCCTTTCACTGTACCCTCTGCTGCCCTCTGCTCTTTAATTCTTCTGCTTGACACACAAGTATCTCGTGGTCTCTCCACTTAGTCACTCACCCTGGCCAGCTCTAATGAGTATTGCCAGGGTGGCACCTGAGTCTCTCTAAAGGGAGCACCCGCCCAGAACCCAGGTGAGGAGGTTGCTGCTGGGAAGCTGCCGGAGTTTCCAGAGAGGACTGAGGCGTTCTGCCCTCTATGGCTCTCTCCCCTCCCCCCTGCACCCTGGCAACAGCTCTTCAGAGCCAGGGATGAGTGACGTAGGTGTGGTGAGCACAGTCCCTCCAGGATCTGGCTCCTGGGGCTCAGTGAGATAAACAACAGCGGAGGGAGTGGCAGAAAGGAAACCCCAAGCTTTGGGGCCAGCGCCAAGAAAAGGACAGCAACATTTCCACGACGTGGAGATGGAGTATTGGGGCTGCCACCTGGCCCTGGCCTCAGACCCGCTGAATTCATTAGCTGGTTGGAAGCCAGCCCTCGGGTTCACCAAACCACCGCCCCCTCAATAGAGGCCTCAGTGGGGCCATGAAACGGAAGAAGGAAAGCCCCAACTGCCCTTCCCCGCAGCCTCTACACCTCCCAGCTGCACTGCCCGAGCTGCTCCCTTGAGAGGAGGCCCAACAGCACAGTTGCCAAATAACAGTCAGGAGACCCGTTGACAGGCTGGACGGGAAATCTCGAATGTGCGTGTAGGAGGAGGAGGCATCTCCTTAGGAACTTGAGTGGGGCTGGAAGAGCGACTCTGCCCAGGTGGGTGGGATTTTAGGAGAGGTGCTGATCCCCTCCCACCCTTCTGTCTCTTTGTACAGGGAAGACAGGGGTCTCAGTCCCACCTGGGACCGTCTGGGCGCTCTCCCCTTACCGGCTTCCCGCTGTAACCCGCCCAGCCTCAGTCATCGTGTCTCCCCCTGCTACACGCAGGGAGCCCAGGCGGCAAGGGGCAGGAGGGAGGACATTGTGGGCCTCTCCAGGGCCGGAGGTCACAGTGAGGTCTCCACGCAGGAGCCGTGGCGGTGCAGCGGCCGATGGCTGTGGCCCAGACACCCCTCCTGCCTGTGGACGATGAGGACTGGAAAGTAGAGGGCGTCGTGATAGGGCGGCGGCGGGCCGGCCTCCTCCTCGTCGTCGTCTTCGTCGTCCCCCATGCTGGCCTGGCTCGACAGCCGCGTCTGCTCCGTGGGGCAGCTMGCTTCGTTGACGCTCCCGCTCCGGCTGCGCCACAGACAGCTGCGTCGGGAACCGTAGAGACGGCCGAGCGAGAAGCGACTGCCCCCGCAGCCCGCKCCTCCGCCGGGCCCAGGGCCGGCCCGCGGGCTGGCGCATATGCTCAGCGCGCTGCGTGAGAAGATGGACGAGCTGCTGACCGCGCGCTGGCAGTGCTCGCAGCTGCGCCGGTATGGGGCCACTCCCGCCGCGCCCGGGCCGCCTACCCCGCCGTAGCGGCAGGTGGGCGCGAAGCCACCGCCCGCCGCCCCGCTGCAGCGCGCGCCCAGCCCCGCCAGGTCCATTAGCACCGCCTCCGAGTAGCTGGGCACTAGCTGCTGGTTGGAGCGAATGTGCCATTCCAACTCCGTGCTGTCCACCGTGTTGACGCGCGGCAGGCGGTGGGTAAGCGGGGGCAGGAGCTCGTCGCTGGGGCTGAGGCCGCCGCCCACGCTGCTAGCCGAGCCCGGGCCCTCCAGACCGAAGAGCTTCTCCACGTGGTAGTGCGCGTAGGCTGTGCGGTACTCAGCCAGCACGCGAAGGGGCCACGACAGCGTGAGTAGCGCCGCAGCCCAGAAGGCCGACGAGCAGGCATACCAGGGCGGCCTGGTTGGGTCCGGGAAGGCCACCATGAACTCTCGAAAGTCCACGTTCTTGAGGTGCATGCCCTCGCGCGCCTCCATATAGTCGTCCAGGCCCTCGTTCTCCGCAAAGAAGCGCGCGCGCTGGCACAGGTATGCGTTCTCAGCCTCCACGCTGGCAAAGCTGAAGCACTTGGTGAAGCGCAGCCTCGTGGCGGGCGCGCCCTCCAGCCCCACCAGCGCCTTGGACACGTCTCGGACGCCACAGCGCGCATAGTCGAACTCGGCCTCTGCTACATGCGTGTTGACACGCTCGTGGTAGACCTGCAGCACGGGGAGGCGGCTGGAGTCCCCAAGAGTCGGTGCCACGGTGCCCTCCTCTATCTGCTCCTGCTGGCCCTCCCGACCACCCGTTTGTCCCATTGCTGTTCTTGTTGCCTGGTCCATCCCTAAGCCTGTCCCGTTTTAAGCAGCGGCTGGAGCAGGGAGATCTTACCGTCTTGGCTATGGAAACACTGAGCTCTTTGCTTAATCAGTGAGTTAAGAGATGAGATTGGACTACAGTCAACCCTCCCTGACTGCATTCAGTAAGCTCTGCTTCCTCTTGATCCCTGGTTTGTCTGATCCTTTTCTCACTGCCTGCACTGCTCCTCACCACCACAAGCTGCCTCCCCGTCTTCATTTTTCGTGTGTTTCCAAATGGGTATCCAAAGGAGCCCCGAAAGAACCCCTCTGTCACTAGGCTCCCCATTCTGGCCTTACTTATCACTCAACCTCCTTCTTTCCTATCATAGGTCCCAGGCTTTTGTCTACTCATCCCAATTCTGAAACAGAGGTCACCAGCACCACAACTCCTCCAGGACCTCACAAGGTCTAATTCTCAAAGTGGTGATTGTTTTGTGGACTCTCCATAAATTCCCCCACACTATCCTCTTCGAGCCTTGAACCGGGAATCCAAGCACCTGGTTTTGAGTCTATCACTCGGGAGTTGCAAACCTTGGGCCAGTTTCTAAGCTTAGGTCTCCTTACCTGTGAAAGAGAACTCAGTGACAGTCACCTCACTGAACAGGTGAGCACATGCTGTGAGACTGGACCTGTGAAGTCATCTGTAGCCAATAAGCACTGAATAGTATAAACCTTGGAACAGACAGCTTGGAGCTGACTCCCATCTCGTCCACATGCTAGCTAAGTGACCTTGAACAAGTTATTTAAGCTCATGGGGTCTTGGCCTCCTCATCTGTAAGATGGGGACATACCTTCCTCATAGACTTGCTCTGAGTATTAAATAAATGCTTCAATATTTGTAAAGTACTCAGAGCCTGGCTCTTTCTGTGTTTGCTATTATTAAGTTATTCTTACCACCCTCTTATTGAAGCTCCCATCTGAGCTCACAGATGCCTTGTGCTCTTTCACACACAGGTGCAAGTCTGAGCACCCTCTCCCATCTTGAATGGCCTGCTCTCCCCTCCAGCCTCTCACCTGGGTAGTAGTGTAGGCATCTCCGTTGCGGTATCTGGTGACCTGACGGGTTCGGCGGACATAGTGATAGCTGATGGCCTTCCACCAGATGCAGGGTGTGGCCTGCTGCATGCGGCCCACACGCTCCCGCACGCTGCTCACATCAACACGGTGCTGCAGCTCATGGCGGGCTTGGCAGTGCCAACACTCCACCAGGTAGACGGCGTACAACATGAGCAGGAAGGCCAGGGGGATGTAGACATAGCCATTGGAGCAGGGGCTGTCATGGTACATGAGGCTGTTGCCCTGGTAGGCGCTGCTGAAGGTGAGGCGGGTCACTGTGGTGACATGGCACCAGGCCACTGCCCCCAGGCAGCCGTACATGAGCAGCGAGAGCAGGAGGCACTTCCAGTGGGACTCACGGCAGAGGGACTTTGTGAAAGAGGGCTGGATGGGACGCTGCTGCTCAGATGGGCAGGGAGGGGGTCAAGATGAGTGGGAAGTCAGACAGAGTGGCAGGACCCAGCAAAGAGATGGATGTAGGAATGGAGGGGAAGAGACCAKCATCAGAGACACAGACAGGGGTGTAGGGAGAAAACATAAGACCGAGATGGGAACCACAGACCAGAGATAAACGCAGAAGTGATCCAGAGAGAGCCACAAGGACAGTAAAAGGGACCAGAATGCCAATACAGGAAAGTGCGGAGAGACACCCCAAGAGGCAGAGAGGGATCAGAACCAGAAATGGAGGCCCAGGAAGCAAAGACACAGATGGATAGGATGGCACCCAGAGAGAGAGAGTGCAAAGACAGACACAAAGATGGTAATGAAACAGGAGGAGGTGTGGATGGGGAAGAAGGGAGGACAGACAGATAGGCATCAGCAAAGGTAGGACGCCAGCCTAGACCCCTTCCAGGTGTTCCAGGAAAGGGGGGAGGGACCCACGTCACCACCTACTTATCAGGTGGGGGCCCTGACTTTTTTGGGGGGGTACTGGGGATTGAACACAGGGGCACTCGACCACTGAGCCACATCCCCAGCCCTATTTTGTATTTTATTTAGAGACAGAGTCTCAATGGGTTGCTTAGCACCTCGTTTTTGCTGAAGCTGGTTTTGAACTCTCAATCTTCCTGTCTCAGCCTCCCGAGTCACTGGGATTACAGGCGTGTGCCACTGCACCCGGCTGGGCCCTTACTTCTTGCAGATATTTTCAGTCTAGGTTCTAGAGGAGCCACTCCCCTTTAACCAATCCAATTCCTTAACTCTCATGGCAATCAGTCTGATACTTCTTTGGAGGAGGATCCAGAAGAAAGCCCAGGCCCCCTTCTGGATTCCTCCAATGAGTCTTCCTGCTACACCCTATTATTGTTTCCCTCTGTTCTAGGATGAGAAGGAGGGGATGGGGTCCCTAAGCAAAGGCAGTCCAAAGGGAGGTATTCAAAAAGGCAGAGTTGGGGCCAGGGTTATGGCTCAGTGGTAGAGCACTTGCCTAGCATGCGTGAGGCACTGGGTTTGATCCCTAGCACCACATGAAAATAAACAAATAAAATAAAGGTATTGTGTCCATCTACAACTAAAAAAAAAAAAAATTTAAAGGCAGAGTCATGTGGCTAGGGAGAGGATGGGAACAGGGGATATGGGGCAGGAGTAGGAAGAAAGACATTTGAAACCCAGCCATTTGTCACAGAAAACAGTTTTCAGTGCTCCCTTAAAGCATTTGGCACATTCTGTCCCATGGTTGGCCCAGTGAGTTGTTTACATGTCTGAGCCTCCTCTAGACTGAGCACCCCTGAGGGCAGGGCCCATGCCTAATTCTTTGCATCCTGGATGCCTACCATGGTGCTGGCACTCAGCAGTCACGTAATATATGACCTCTTGCTGGAATCCTGACTTGTCCCTTCAGTTCTGCAGGCCTAACTTGGAGGCCAGCCAGGAAAAGGAAAAAAGGGGTGGAAAGAAAGAGCATAGTAACAAGCAGCAGGCCCTGGACTTAGTATGGACAGGTAGGTGGAATAGGAAATAGCACACAGCATGTACCTATAAGAGCACATACCTATGTGTGCCTTTTGGAAGCCTTGTCTCTGGGAGTGTATGCATACGTGCACCTTTGTGCCAACCTGGCTATGTGCTTGTCCCAGTGTGGGCACAACCAGAAGGAGCTCTACCTATAGTTCTGTCCCTCTTGCTGAGCTCCTGGTCTAGTGCAGTGTGCATGTATGTGCATAAGTGTGCATGAGAGGCCCACGGTGGGGGGGCTGCTTCTGGTAATTTCCTCAGTTTCTTTGTCTCCAGTTTCAGAAGACTACCCTACGGCCCTCAACTAGGGATATGCTTAGTACCAAGACTGAAGGATTCTTGAGCTTAGGGACCCCTAGGGAAAGGAGCAGAGGGTTGGGAGATAGGGTGCTCCCCACATGCACATTCACACCCCTGTGACCCCAGGAGGTACAGCTTCCATACACATCTGAACTTCGCAGGGCCCTAGCCTAGGTAACCTCACCATTTCCCCAAGGTGCCTTCCTGACTCTGAGCCCCTATAAAGTCCCCCTTCATGGCCATCAAGAGAGCATCCCCTCTGTAAGATAGGATCCCACCACCATGCTCACCCCACCCTGGGATAGCCTAGTCCCCGGCTCCAGCCCCGGGGTCCGCGAGGCCCCGCCCCAGGCCCCTCCCACTGCCCGGGACCCCCTGGCCCCGCCTCCGGTGCGGCCCCCTCCTCGCCACCGCGGACAGSTCCGGCCGCCAGGTGGGGGAGGCAGCGCCGGACTGCGGCTGTGGCGGCCGGCTCGGGGTGCGGGGCGCCGGCCGCGTTGCGGCGGAACCGCGGGGGCCGCGCACGGCGGGGGGGATGGGGACCAGGCCGCGACAGCTCCCGGGGAAGGGGCCGCTGGCTCTCACCTCCTCTCGGGCGGGGCCCTCGTCCGCCGCTGCCATGGGCTCCTCCAGGACCCCCGAGCCGCCACCGCCGCCGCCGCCGCCGGCGCTCTCTCCCGCGGCCGAGCCAGGGGGGGACATGGCGTAGAGGGGGCGCGTCGAGCTCAAGACCTCCCGGGGGGCTGCCAGGGGCTGGGGGCATCCTGCGCTGGCCCTGGGGAAGGGGTGGGAGGGGGCGGGGCCCTCACTGCTCCCCACCCCCCGACGGGGGGAGGGGGCCTGGAAAGGGCACCGAGGGTAAGGGGATGGGGGCCGGGGTTGGGGGGCAGGCTAGAGGGGCCGGGCTGGGGGGGCCGGGGCCGGGGGCGGGTGTCACCTTGAGGCCCTCGCGGCGCCGCTCCGCCTCCCGCCCGCTCCCGCCGCCGCCTTTTGTCTGAACGGAGCTGGAGCCAGCGCGCCCCCCCTCTTCCTCCCAGCGCAGCCCAGCCCCGCCCTCGGCCCCCCAAACTCCGCCTTCCTCAAGCCTTCCTAATAACCACCTCGCAAAGGGGAGAAGCAACAGGGGCTCCGCGCACCCCTTCCCCGGTCCCAGCCCTGCTCTCCACACCTCCCTCCTGCCCGCCCGCCCATCCTGGGAAGATCTATGCCGCAACTCCTCTCCTGTCCTCCGTGGAGGGGGCGCCCGAGGGTCAACCAACACCCCTCCAGAGCCGGCTCCCGCAAGTTCCTGGATCTAAGGAGCAGGGGGGAAAGGAAAATGAGACTTGGTATCATAAAGAAGATCCTTATTAGTTGCATCGTAAAGGGTTAAGGCAAGAGCCAAACTTCAGACGGTGGAATAGCGGTGAAAGGGGAGAGAATGAAGCTAGTTGTAAGAAAAGGACTAACAGAGGACAGAGGAGAGGACATTGGAACCGGCCTTCACTGAACCTTCTTCCTCCCTTAGAAGAACAGCCCCAGAAAAGCAATGAAGTATGTACAATGCCCTAGGCTGGAGGTCAAGGAAACTTGAGTTCTAATTGTTAATCTTGGCTCTGCCATTAGTGAGTTGTCTGACCTTGGGCAAGTGCCTTTCCCTCTCTCAGCCTTTATTTTTTCATCAGTCCAGTGAGAATGTTGACTAGATAATCTCTAAGGCTTCTGGTCTGTGGGTGTAGGAGGCAGAGTCACAGACCACAAACCAGGCTGAGTGACTGCAGCCAGCCTGCCCCCACCCCATGTTGTCCATCTCACATTGCTTTTCCCTACATCGGGTAGGACAGTAAGGAAGGGAACTGACATTCATTCATGCATTCCTGGATGGATGCATCCATTCAATAAACAAGTATTAGGCAGCCAATGTGTGCCCTGTATAAAATGAAACACAATTTCCTACCCTCCAGGAACTTGAAGTTTACAGGGACTAAAGGACATGGAAACCAATCATTATGATAGGATGTAATAAAGGCATGCATGATCAATTTGTTCATTTGCAGTCACTGGGGGATCCTACTTTGTGTCATTAGGGTCCTTGACACCCAGTAACTGTTCTTATTTATCCTCAAGGAACCAAGGCAGAAGGAGAGCAAGTGACTAACCTGTCATCTGCTAACACTCAACCCAGCTAGCTAGTCCTAGAATTCAGATCTTTCCTGTTCAAAAATTCAGGGGAAGCCAGGCACAGTGGCACATGCTTGTAATCTCACCTACTTGGGAGACTGAGGCAGGAGGCCACAAGTTCAAGGTCAGCCTCAACAATTTAGTGAGACCATCTCAAACTAAAAACTGAAAAGGGCTGGGAATGTAGCTAGTGATAAAGCACCTCTGGGTCAATCCCCAATATAAAAAAAAAAAAAAAGTAATTCATAACAAAGCCTGGATATCTGATCTCTGGGTGTAGGATACAAGCAAATCTATGTGCAGGGGCTATTCCTGCACCTCATTTGGGGCAGAAGAAGCACTTCCTCCACCTGGTCTTGCCTCTGTTTTCCCTTCTCAGGCAAGGTGAGGTTCCATCACTTCAGAACCATCCAACCTGAATGATCCTTTCCAGGTTGGTGAGTGCATTCTCCCGGCCCAAGTAGAGAAGGGTGTGGTACTGAAGAGGTGGGGCCTCTCTTCACTCCTGTGGCAGAGGACAGAATCTCTTGGTGGCTATTCCAATGTCTTACACCCATGCTTTTTGGGTGATTTCAGCCCATTCAGACTGAAATCAGGACTCCAGTCCTCCATGCAGACAAAGGGCCAAGGTCCTAACGCAGCCTTCCTAACCTTCAAGATTCTTTACTTCCCCATATAGGTGTTTATAATCTTCCTTCTGACACCTACCCTTTCCACCTCCCATCCAAGAGCCTTTGGAGGAAAGATAATCCAACTCCTTTTGGCCAATGCCACAGCTCCCAAGACACAAAATACCACCTTGCCTTCTCCATTCACACACACTACCCTTCCCTTGAAGCTCCAGGAAAAGGGTAGTGAGGGGGGATGGTGGGATGAGCCAGCTGACCAGCTGGTCACCATGGAAACTAGAACTGTTTCCCAAGATGAGCCTGGCTAGGGTGGGCAGAGATGGGGAGTGAAGGCAGGACAAAGGGAACCAGAGAACTCAGCAGAGGGAGAGAAAGACTTCAGGGGTCTAGCCTCGTACAAGACTGTTACTGAGGAGCAAAGTCAGGGCCGTGAACACGCTATAACCTGAGTCGAAGTTCCTAGGGCATCTTTCCAAATAACACTGCCATGGTCCCTTTCCCCATTCTTGGAATGACAGGAGGGCTTCCTGTCAGAGTGCAGGTTCTAGTGCTCATGGCAGTAGGTGACTCAATGCTGACCTCATGTGGCCATGAAAGGGGCTGATACACACCTGTTATGGCTCAGGGCCAGACATCTAGCTGGGTTGGGGTGGGTTTTTCTTTAAATTTGGCCTCTGTGTCAATTAGAAGGGTGGTCACTGAACTCTCTTGAGTTCTGTATCCCTGAACATGGCTCAGATGCCATCCATGCATGGCTTAGATCTTGACAAAGGAAGACAGTTTCACTGAAATGAATTTCAAGGTTTGAGTTAAGTCAGAAGAACCCAGCATTGCATTTCCTGACCTTTGAAACTTGGGCAATTCAACTCACTCGTCTGGCCCTCAGCTTCCCAACATTAAAATGGGGGTGATAGTACCAGATTTTGAACCTGTCTGTTCTAGGTCTGGAGTTTATACTTTTGCTCTAGACTTTGAGGATGGGAGAGAAGCATGCAGGGGAGGAGATTAAGAATATCTGAAATCACACTGACCCAAGGGAAGGAGAGGGGTTGGAGGTTTTGGTAATGTCTTGTTTGTTTTCAGGGTTGTTCACCTGTTGGGCAAGCACTCTACCACCGAGTACACCCCAGCATCCCCAAGGGAAGGAGATGCCTCAGTTTCCTTGGGCTTTTCCCTCATGACTCCTCTCTGCCTCATGCTCAAGACATCCTCCCCATTTTAGTCCTCCACGTGGATGGAGAACAGTGGATAAGAGCAGGCCCTTCTCTTCCCCTATCTACCCTTTTCCCTTCCCATTTTCAGCTCAAAAGAAATGCTCCCTCATCTCACCCCACTGAATAACTGGCCCACCGTGTGCCCCCCAACACTGTTCTGTGTCCTGTCTTAACACAACCACCTTGAGTTGCAATTGCCAGGAAGTTTTTTTGAAAGCTGGGACCTTGGGATTTTCTTGGTGGGGGCGGGGGAATTGTTAGTTATTACTGTGATGGTTGGTTTTGTTCCCAGAAGAGATAACAATGTCAGGCATATAGCAGAAGCTCTATACATAATGTCAAATGAGTGAATGGCTGGATGCATAAAATGAGGTTGGTGAGAAGTGGGGAGAGCTGGTTAGGAGCCACCTCACCCCAGCTTCCTTCCTCCCAGCCAGAGATGAAAAAAAAAGCTGTTACCTTCGGGATGATCCTCTGAGACCATTGCTAACCCAAGGTCAATGGCCCTTGGAGTCCCAGGAAGTAGCATGAAAGGAGCAAACAATGACCAGTGGCATGGAACTCACCTGGGAGATGTTCTCCCATGGCCTCTGTGGGCCCAAGGAAAGCAGGAACTGGGAAGAAAATATGTTTGGGGGCTGAGACTGAGGAAATGGAAGGGGCCTCAGCAGTGTGTCTGGGGCCTCTCCACCCTGGCCCTACCTTGAGGAACTAAATTTCCCTGACCATTGGGGGTGGCCAGATACTGTAACCACTCAAGGTCAGTGCTCGCCCTGTGAGGAAGAAGAAACCCATGAGCACTCTGCCTGTTAAACAAATCTGCCTGAGAAACCCCATTTAATAAAAACATATTCTCCTGCCCAATTCTATGTGATCTGGAGAAATGACTCTCTATGTGGGACTACAGGGAAGAATTTCTTCTCTAATAATAATGGATCCCGGGCTGGGGATGTGGCTCAAGCGGTAGCACTCTCGCCTAGCGTGCGTGCGGCCCGGGTTCGATCCTCAGCACCACATAAAACGAAGATGTTGTGTCCGCCGAGAACTAAGAAAAAATAAATAAATGTTAAAATTCTCTCTCTTTCTGTCCCCCTCACTCTCTCTTAAAAAAAAAAAATAATAATAATAATGGATCCCTTTTCGACCTATACTCCTGAACTTGGAAAGATGAAAAAGCAAGAAAAAATCGAGAGAAATAGGCTGAGAATAGGAAGCAGTGCTTCCCAGCCCACCACCTATGCGCTTTCCCCACAAGACTCCCAGCTTGTGCAGAAAATTAATATTCCTTCAAAACAAACAAAGAAACAGAAGGAAGAAAAGAATGACTGCATGGAATTAATGAATGGAATAAAGGAGGAAGGGGAAAGAGTGAGAGAATGAACGAATGAATGAATGAATGATGAATAGGCAAATTAATCCACGAAGGAGTGAGTCAGGGCGGGTAACCATGGACTCTGAACTTACGCACAGAGGCGGCAAGGGGGATTCCGGAGGGGCGGGGCCTTTGCCCGGAAGCGCCGTCGGGGGCGGGGCCCGGGGCGGGGCCATCCCCGTGCGGCCACTTCTTTGGCCCGAGTGGGCGGGGCGAGAGGGAGGACCCGATTGGACTGCCCAGCTGCCCAGAGTAAACCGCTGCCGTGGACCGGGTCGACGCTGCTAACCTCGTCCGCGCTTTTCGTCCACTCTTTGCGCCCGCACAACCTGGAACCGAGGCAACTGAGAGCCCGGCGTTGTCTTTACCAGGCGGACCCGCAACCCGGAAAGGCCGCGCGGCGTAGCCCGGAGACCGATCCTGCTCGAACCCGGCCCCAGCGGGCTGGCRCCGCGGGCATGTCGGAGGCGCGGAAGGGGCCGGACGAGGCGGATGAGAGCCAGTGTGACTCCGGCATAGAGTCTCTACGCTCTCTGCGTTCCCTACCGGAGCCCACCCCGGCCACAGGCTCCAGGCCCTCGGACGGCTGCAGCCCCCAGCCCTGGACCCATCCTCCGAGTTCCTCCAAGGAGCCGCGGGAAAAGGAAGACGGGGACGGGGAGCGGGCTGACTCCACTTATGGCTCCTCCTCGCTCACCGAGCCCTTGCCCTTGCTGGGGGATCCTGAGGCTGAGGACCCAGCCCCAGGATCGTCACTGCCCTCCGCGGGGGCGCTGAGCCCTCAGCAGCTCGAAGCATTCACTTACATCTCTGAGGACGGAGACACGTGAGTATGGGGGCTAGGCTGAGATGGAATACTAACTCTGGGCTTTCCAGGAGCTGCAGCTGTCCAGGTACCCCACCACTACCCCCAGAGTACACCCCRAGGAACCCCCACGGTGGAAGGGACAGTCCCCACTCTCTTCCAAACTCCCTACTCAACTCTTAGCCCACTTTTGTACTCTAGCCAGGTCCAGACCAGAGGACTTGTCATCATTTATTTGCCGTCTTTTTGGGAAATGATTAGAGTTAGCACATTTCTTACCCAGGCACCTGGAACCCCAGCCAGTATCTTGGAAATCTACCAATAACCCACCCCTGGGAAGAGAAAATTCCCCTGACCAGYCCAGTTTTTTTTTTTTTTWAACTTGCTGGGGGAGGGGGCATCCGTGTTTGCTCAATATCTGGGATTCCCAGCTCCTGACCTCAGAATGCCCTGTCTCAAGGAAAAGGAGACACCAGTTACAGGTTGCCATTCAGTGCCAGGAAGCTTGGGATGGGGGTGCTGGCAGGGTGCAGGGTTGGGACTGGCCCTGAGAAGAAGAGAGTGACTAGGCTGGGGCCAGAGTGCCCAGGCAGACAGGGGACTGGCTGCCCCAGCTTACTTCCTCCTTTACTGAGAAAGGGGAAGTGAGGGCTGAAGTCAGCCCCCAACACCCTTCATTCCTGAGCACCCCAAATCCTCCCTACTGTTCTGTCTTACCCCCTCATTCTATTCTTCCTCTCCCAGGCCCAGAGGGAGTTTGATGGGCACTGGGCCAGGGGACAGCTGAAGTTACAAGTGATTGTGTGGGATGGGATGGTCAGTTGAGGACTTGAAAAGAAGAAAACACTGGCAGCTGGGATTTCGGGGTGAGAAATGGGAGAGGAGGGTTGGAGTCCCAGATCAGAGATGCTGGAATGAATAGGCACAGGGGAGGCGGAGGTGCCTGTTCTGACCTGCTTTTTGGAGATGCAGGAGTTGTAATCTTGGGTGGATGTTGACAAAGTTATCCTCTGGACCCAGTGAGTGGGAGAGGAGAGATCCTAGGGCTTTTGTACTCTGTGCCTAGATCACTACCCCAGAATCCAAGGTTTCAGGGGCTTCATGCAAGATATCTATGGCTGACCTTTGATCCAGTGAATGGGACTTCTGATACTTCCCTCTTTCATTGGCCTCTCAGCCTCAGCCTTTACCATATCTAGTTAGAGACAAGTGGTGTGTGTGTCTGAGAGAGAGAGAGAGAGATGTGCAAGGACTTCCCAGCAGGTCCCTCAAGAGAAGGTGGGCATTTTCCTCCCTTGGAGGTGGTTGGGCTTTGGGAGGTGTGGAAGTGGGAAGAGGAAGTGGGAGGAGGGGAGACTGAGGGAAAGAGGGAGGTGGCTGCAGGAATGTGACCCAGAGAGCAGGCCCTGGCCGAGGGGATTTCCAGAGCGGTTCCTCCCTCCCTCGTCACTCTCTCCTGGGCCTCTCCTGCCGCTTGCCTGCAGCCAAAGCCTGCCCCCTCTCCTGCCTGAGCAGCCCCCTGCCCAGCCCAGATGGGCGTTTTAGCCAAGATGTGCCCCTCACTAATGCTGCAAGGCACTTGTCCAGGCCTAAATCCTCCAGCCCCGGCTTTCATTTTCCCCACCTGATGTGGGGAAACCCCGAGACTGGAACTTCCCTTGCCCAATGCTCCCCCTTACCTTGAGGTTAAGACTCTTGTCCCCTTTATCAAACAGACCTTTTCTGCATTGCACAGATCTCTTAGAAGTGCACAGGGCCACTAATCAGGCCCCGTCTGGCTTGTGCCATCTGAGGAGTGGCCCTCATGACTCCCTTAGGAAGGGCAGCAGAACAAAATGCTGTCTCCTGCCTGTCTTCCAAGAGTTTCTGTCTCCCTCCCTTGGAATGCATAACACTGAGTTACTGGGGGGAACCCCACATCTGCCTCCTCCTGTCCTCCCTGTTGTGGGGAGGTGGGGAGCTCAGCCCTGGAAACCCCCTCTGCACCACTCCCGCGGCTTTCAGTTTGGCTTTGAGCTGCAGCTGGCTTCGCAGGGCCCTGGGGGCAGGGGGGAGCAGGGTGTGGGCAGGCTGGACAGGAAGGCCCTTGTCCTGTCAGCACCCTGCCTACGTGCCCACCCAGCCAAGGCCCTCCTCAAGGCCACCAATGGGAATGTGGGCCTCCATCCCCAGAATCCTGCCATTCCATATCAACCCTCACTTCCTGGCCCAAACTCATCTCCTGCACCTACCTTTCAGGTTGCTAATTAGAGGGTAACACAGTCCCTCTAAACCCAAGACCCCAGTCACCCTCTCTGGCCTGTGCCCTGACCCCAGGCACTCCCCTGCTCCCCAGGCTGGTCCACCTGGCAGTGATTCACGAGGTCCCAGAGGTGCTGTTCTGTTGCCTGGCTTTGCTGCCCCAGGAGGTCTTGGACATTCAGAACAACCTTTACCAGGTAGGTAGAAGGAGGAGTCTGTGTCCATAGTAGCCATCCCCAGAAGCCACACCAGGGTTCTTAGGCTGCTCATTTGGGACCTGTATGCCAGATGCTGGGCTTGAAGTGGAGAATGCAGAGATGAGTAAGACCCAGCCTCTGCCCACAGGGCACAGTCTGGTCTGGAGGACCCGGTGTAAATGCCTAATTATACATCATGATGACAAACGGTGTGAGAAAGACTCATACCTGCTACTGTTGGGTCCAGTGTCTTTATGGAACAGGTAGAGAAGGCTTAGTACAGGAGGTGACATCTGAATGAAGACTTAAGGAAGGAAGGAGTTTGCCCGGGGAGACTGCCTAGTGCCAATTCCTGCAGCCTAACCCCAGGGGGTAGCACAGGTCTCCCTAGAAGGTGAGTGACTGGACTCTGATCCCACATGTTCTTTCTCTAGGAGTTGAGCAGACCTATGAGAAGAACAGGGGGTCATTTCCCTCACTCTGCTTCCAGAACTGGGGTCCTAAGAACTTGGTGGTAGGGTGATAGAGGGAAGGACTTACTAGTACTTTCTTAGAAGACCAGGGCTATGGCCTTTGTAAGCTGCTCTCARAGAAAATGATGGCATCTGGATATTGCTATAGCATCTAGCATGGTCCYAGAGGTGGGAGCATGCTGCAGTAGCTGACTGACCCTCTGTTTGTGCCTGCAGACAGCACTCCATCTGGCTGTTCATCTGGACCAGCCGGATGCAGTTCGGGCCCTGGTGCWGAAGGGGGCCAGTCGGGTGCTACAGGATCGGCATGGTGACACAGCCCTACATGTGGCATGCCAACGCCAGCATTTGGCCTGTGCCCGCTGCCTGCTAGAGGGGCAGCCAGAGCCAGGCAGAGGAACATCTCACTCCCTGGACCTCCAGCTGCAAAACTGGCAAGGTTTGGGTAGCCCCACCCAGGGCCTTTGGGGAAGAGGAGAGGGCAGGAAACAGGGACCCCACTCCTAGGAAAGGGGGAGACCCAGCTTGTCTGTTGATGTTCCTCCAGCTCTAAGCACCTGGACACTTAGTACATCTTTGCTAGATGAAGGAATAGATGATGGATGAATTATTTGATTCAGAATTGACCCAACACCTACTGAGTGTTGAGCAGAAATCTAAGTTTTGTCCTTAAAATATATAGTTTAATAGAGATTAAATGAACTCCTTCATTCATTCAACAGAAATGTCCTGAGTGCCTTTCTGTGTGCCAGATTCTACCCCAGGAGCTCAGCTCCCATCTGAAAACAAAAATGAGAAAGATAGAGATGGACAATAAATATAAGAAGTGAATTATATAATATGTTAGAAGGAAGTAAGTGCTATGGTAGAGGGAGTAGAGCAGAGGGAGGGGAACTGGAATGTTTTTTTTGGGGGGGAGGTTGATGTGATTTTTAAAAACGGTAGTCAGGAAAGGCCAGGGTCATTTGAACAAAAACTTGAAGGAGATAAAGGATGTATATTTGAATCTGAATCTCTATTATAAGCAGAGAGTGGGGGAGGGAGAGTTATAGACCAGAAAGGAGATAAGCAAAGAAAGGCAGGGCACACAGAAGGAAGTGGCCCCTGGAGAGAGTCTGGGGCATGAGGATCCCCAGATGGCTCCTCGGAGAAATCTGGATTGAGCTTGAAGACAAGTAGAGTTCTGGAGTATTTGTGGGYTTGAGGGGTATGTGCCCTGGAGGAGGGTATGTTTGGGGGCTGTCATTCAGCAGCCTGACCCCTGAAGCATGAAAGTTTCAATAACATGACTGAAAGGTGGAAACTTGCAGTTCCTTTCCCCTCAGACTTTTGAGGGGGTTTTCGGGGTTGCATTTTAAGAGTCCTGTGATTAAAGGCATTGAGTGGGCAGGAGTCCCTTGGGGCTGAGGGTTAGGGAGGTCCCTGAAGAGAGTGAAAGAGAGCTGTGAATGCCAATCAGTGTCCCTACCCACCTTACCCCAGGTCTGGCCTGTCTTCACATTGCCACTCTACAGAGGAACCAGCCTCTCATAGAACTACTGCTTCAGAATGGAGCTGACATTGATGCCCAGGTGAGGTAACCCATCAAGGCACTGCCTGCTCATGGCACCTGACCCAGCCTTGCCCCTGCAAGTTCCCCTACCCCACATAGCAAGTGGTGCCTCTGCTCTCCTCCCAGATCCCACTGCCACTTCAGGGCCTTGGCTGACATCCTTATGCCTTTCCAGGAGGGCACCAGTGGGAAGACAGCATTGCATCTAGCTGTGGAAACCCAGGAGCGGGGCCTGGTACAGTTCCTACTCCAGGCTGGTGCTCAGGTAGATGCCCGCATGCTCAATGGGTGTACACCGCTGCATCTGGCAGCTGGACGGGGCCTCAGTGGCATCTCATCCACTCTGTGTGAGGCCGGCGCTGACTCCCTGCTGCTGAATGTGGAAGATGAGACACCGCAGGACCTGGCTGAGGATGTACGAGGCATAAACTTCTCCATTCTGGTTTCAGGGCCTCTCACACCCATAGCAGAGATAGGGACTGTCAGTAGTTGGAAGGACCAGAGAGTTAGGAGTCTTGGGGTACAACCGGGACTCTGCCACTTACCAACCAGTCATGCAACCATGGGCCAACCTTTATCCCTCTCCAAACCGGTTTCCTTAGTTGATCAGGACCAAGAGCCCCAACTTTATACTCCTACAGGGGCTCCACAACTAGCGTGAATCAGTAAAGCTGGCCAGGTGTATGACCAGCAAGTGGTGAAGCCTGGGAGAGAGCAGAGAGCCATACCTCGGGGTCTCTCCTTGGCTCCAGCAAATGCTTAGGCATAGGAATGTAGGCCCCATGTTTCTAGGTCTTGGAAATTTTCAAGAGGTGAAACCCAGGTTTTCTGTATAGTCTTCCTGTTTTTAAATGTTAAGTATAAAACAAATGTTCAGAATGTTGTGCCCCCCACAACAAAAGTAGATCCAGAGCTATATCATCTTTTATTTTTTCAAATTTAGATATTCTTAGTTGTAGGTGGACGCAATACCTTTATTTTAGTTTTATGTGTGCTGAGGATGGAAGCCAGTGCCTCATGCATGCCAGGCGAGTGCTCTACCACTCAGCCCCAGCCCCAGCCCCCAGAGCTGGATCATCYTTAATGTCCCTCCTAGCTTGGATATTCTGGCATCATTTTAGAGATTGAAGGCTCTGCCATGTCAGGAGGCCTTTATTAGTATAAGTTCTTCAACTCTGGTGAGGAGGGAGTGGCCCAACAAGTTTCCCTAGGTCTCCTCCACTACTGACTTTTCTCATGGCCACTGATCTTGCTTCTCTCTATTCTCTTTCTCAGCCCCTTATTCTTTTGCCCTTCGATGACCTGAAGATCTCCGGGAAGCCGCTGATGTGTGTTGACTAAAGCCAGGACAGGAAACTGGGGCCACTGTTGCTGCAACCTGGGCCCAGTGTGCCCTTCTGGTGTCCTAGGGACTACTGAAGCCAGAGCCTGGAGCCAGTATGGTTCTGAGTGAGAAAAGAGATTGCAAGTCAGAGAGAGCCAGGCTGGAAGAAAGAGCTTCCCAGGTGGACTGGATGGAGATTCTTGAGAGGCGCCTAAGCCCCAGGCATCCTGGGTGAAGTCTCTTTACCTCTCTTGGAGATGGCAGGGCTCTCATTTCTACCTGTCGGGTCAGTTTGAAACTGCCAACCAGTGGGAAAATGTGGAGGCTTCTGAGTGAGGAGAGACTGAAATAGAAGAARCAGGGCCCTGAGGGGTCCCACCTTACTGCTATTGCAGATTCCAAAACACTCTTGTCTAAAAACTTTTAACAGAAGGCCCTGAACTGAGCCTTTGAGAAAGGAACATTGCARTAACATAACACTAAAGTAGCAGAGACTTTTTAAAAGTGTTTTCCTCCTACCCAGGTGCAGTGGTACAAACCTCAGGAGGCTGAGGCAGGAGGATCACCAGTTTGAGACCAGCCTCAGCAACTTAGCAAGACCCTGTCTCAAAATTAAAGAAAAAAATAAAAAAGGTGGGGAATACAGCTGGTAGAGCACCCCTGATTCAATCCCCAGTGTTAAAGGGTTGGGGGGTCATCCCTTCTAGAGTTGTTTTGTGCATGTGCATAGGCAGATCTGCYCTGTGACCTTTTGATAAAAGCAAAGAGAAGGAAATTATCCCCTGGGTGTGATAAGGAGCTAATAGTCCTCAGGCTTGTCGCTGTCCAGTGCAGACCCTTGTCCTTGTTGTGGAAATGAGGGATGAAGAGAGGAAGAGGAATGAGAAGACACAGGCCCTGGAGGCTGCCATCTGGAGTAGCCAGAAGAGGCTAGGCACCAGAGACCTGCAACTTTTTACATATTTTATACCGGTGAGGCCTACATTGGCATGAAGAAAGGAGGAATAAACCAACATGGTCTCTGACTTTTAGAGCYTATAGTGAGACAGCCTCACTCATAAACATTAAAATCATAAATATCCAAATATAATTACAAAGTGCAGTGGGTGCTGTGAAGGGAAACAGGAGGAGGAAAGAGGACAGTAAAGTGGGTGAGGGACCTTTCTTTGGATGTTCCAGGGACGCCTCTGAGGAGAGTCATCTCATTGGGACATAGGATGAGTAAGTGATGGGGTAGAGCATTTGGGTGGGGGAAAGCCTTTGGAGAATTAGAGGAACTGAGAACAGACCAGCGAGGCTCTACAGGGCCTGGGTAAGTGGGCGAGGAAGATGGGTCAGTTAGGTCATGCGGAGCCTCAGTGGTCACGGGGACGAGGGGGACAGAATTACTGGCCCAACCAAAGAAGGAAGGAGACATCTTCATCCTGTCAGAACATGGGAGAACTAGTGGGGTGTGTTGCTTCTAATCCCAGCGATTTAGGAGGCTGAGAGAGGCGTATCCAAGTTCAAGAGCAGCCTGGCCAACTTAGTAAGACCCTGAGTTAAATCCCTAGTACCAAAAAAAAAAAAAAGTTGGAATGACATAAAGGGGAAGTATTTGGGACACAGAGACTCGACGTCCCAGTCCACAAGAGGGCAGTGGTCACCCCTATTCCCAGGGTAGTGAGGACTGAGAGCGACGACACCCAGGGGAGGTGTCGCTCCTGGGCTGGGGCTGTGGGCTCCTCCGCCCAAAAGCAGCCCAACCTCTTGGAACCCAGCTTCGTCTGCCTCCAGGCCGCGCGGGGGCGCTGTAGCCCACCGCCGCCGGGGCGCTGCGTGGTAGCGGCAGGGGGCGGCGGGGGGCGGCCTCCGGGAGGGAGGCGCCAAGAGCGCGGCACTTCCGCTAGCCGCCCGCTCGCTGGCTGCTAGCGGAGGCGGCGGAGGGTGCGCGCGGCCCGGGGACTCGCATTCCCCGGTCCCCCTCCGCCCCACGCGGCCCGGGTCATGGACACCAGGTGGGAGGACTAGGGCAGCGGCAGCACACATGATCGAGCCTTTGGGCCACGTGATCGCCGCTTTTCGGCACTGGGGGCCGGGTGGGGTCCCAGCCGCCAGGCAGCCGGCCCSCGTGGCGCTGCACGGAGCCGTGCTGACGGGGGCGCGGCGTGGGCTTGTGCTCCTTGAGGGACTTGGGGGAGTGAGGAGCGAAGGAGCTGGGGACCTTGGCGGTCCGGGAACGTGGGAGGCGGGATGGGGGGAGGGGGAGCTGTCTCTGGCCAGAGCAGCCTGGGCGCGCTGGAGGGAACAGAGGGGACCTGTGTGGCCAGAGAGGCGGGTCCGCCCCCGGGGAGGGAGGAGGCCCTGTCTGCCCGCCCCGCGCCTAACCCCCCAAGACAGAGAGAGGCTCTTTGTCCCGCTGGGCTTTAGCGGAGGGGGCGGGGAGAAGACGAGGCACTTATGTGCGGTCCCCTTCTTTGGGCCAGGGGGCTGGAGGACTGCACTCTAATTCTTATGTCCGCGCTCCCAGCAGGTGGTGGGCAGTGGTGGTACTGGCTGCGCTCCCTTCCCTGGGTGCTGGTGGGGAGACTCCTGAAGCCCCTCCGGAGTCATGGACCCAGCTGTGGTTCTTTCGCTTTTTGGTGAATGCTGCTGGCTATGCCACCTTTATGGTACCTGGCTACTTCCTGGTGCATTACTTCAGGAGGAAAAACTACCTGGAGACAGGTGTGTGGAGAGAGGGTGGGGAAGAGGGCTAGGTGTGAATCGCAGGTGTTGGTTCAAACCGGAATGTGACTTGGAAAGGGAAGGAGGGGGGAGGCCAATAGGCTGGACAGCAGGGCAGGTTGGCTGCTCTGGGGAAGCTGAGTTGCTGTGGAGGAGGTTTGGRACTTGACTATATGTGTCTTCTTCAGGCAGGGGTCTCTGCTACCCCCTGGTGAAAGCTTGTGTGTTTGGCAATGAGCCTAAGGCCTCTGATGAGGTTCCCCTGGCTCCACGGACAGAGACAGTGGAGACCACCCCCACTTGGCAGGCCCTGAAGCTGCTCTTCTGTACCTTGGGGCTCCAGGTAGGTAGGCAGGCAAGCTCTGCTTCTTGTCCTGGATTGAGCTCAGTGGGCAGGGACTCTGTGAACTCAGTTTTCATTCTGTCTATCTCAAAGGTTTGTGGGTCTGTGTGTTATGTGTCCCTTTCTCTCAGACACACAGAGCACCATCTTCAAAATGTTTGGAGGAAGCAGTGACWTTCCTTTCTTCATCCCCTCCGCTTCTCCAGCATTGGTACTGCAAGTAACAATGCACTATTGTTTWATGATGTCTAGAGCAGAAGAGGGCTCATCTCTTTCCCAAGTTTTTGGTGACATCTATTGTGCTGTTATTATACTTCCCTCTCTCCTGATGTGCTTCATACGCTGTAAACCCACTGATAAAAAAGATTGGGGAAGCCATTCAGTACTACATAAGAAAGGGGTCCTAAGGCACTGACTGTGTGGAATTTTAGAGTGGGTACTAGTCCCCCTTTTTGGAGCATGTTGAACTATATAGGAGTCAAACTCTTTTTGCCTCCCTGAGTTTGAAAGTAGGTAAGAGAACACTTTGGATGGAGCTAACTCTAGTGTTCTCATACTGTGGGAGCAAACAAGGTCCAGGGAGTTCTAAAGCATATGTTAATGTTTTTCACCACAGTGAATTTTCTACAAGGTAAATCCAGACTTGGGAGAGGAAATTTCTACTTCAGAAGAACACACATGCTGTCCTTTGTCATTGAGAATTATCCTGAGGAAAGGGAAGTTAAGATCTACTTTTTCCTTCTCTTATTGTCTCCTGTCTACCCTCCCCAACCCAGGTGTTCTACCTTACTTGGGGTGTGCTGCAGGAAAGAGTGATGACCCGAAGCTATGGRGCCACAGCCACGTCACCAGGTGAGCGCTTCACGGACTCGCAGTTCCTGGTGCTAATGAACCGTGTGCTGGCACTGATTGTGGCTGGCCTCTACTGCCTCCTCTGCAAGCAACCTCGACATGGGGCACCCATGTACCGGTACTCCTTTGCCAGCCTGTCAAATGTGCTAAGCAGCTGGTGCCAGTATGAAGCTCTCAAGTTCATCAGTTTCCCCACCCAGGTGCTGGCCAAGGCTTCCAAAGTGATCCCTGTCATGCTGATGGGAAAGCTGGTGTCTCGGCGCAGCTATGAACACTGGGAATACCTAACAGCTGGACTTATCTCCATCGGGGTCAGCATGTTTTTGCTGTCCAGTGGACCAGAGCCCCGTAGCTCCCCAGCCACCACACTCTCAGGCCTCATCTTATTGGCAGGCTACATCGCTTTTGACAGCTTCACCTCAAACTGGCAGGATGCCCTGTTTGCCTATAAGATGTCATCAGTGCAGATGATGTTTGGGGTCAATTTCTTCTCCTGCCTCTTCACAGTAATCTCGCTGCTACAGCAGGGGGCCCTCCTGGAGGGGACCCGATTCATGGGGCGACACAGTGAGTTTGCCGCCCATGCCTTGCTACTGTCTGTCTGTTCCGCATGTGGCCAGCTCTTCATCTTCTACACCATTGGGCAGTTTGGGGCTGCTGTTTTCACCATCATCATGACCCTCCGCCAGGCCATTGCCATCCTTCTTTCCTGCCTCCTCTATGGCCACACTGTCACTGTGGTGGGTGGGCTAGGGGTAGCTGTGGTCTTTGCTGCCCTTTTGCTCAGAGTCTATGCCCGAGGCAGGCTAAAACAACGGGGAAAGAAGGCTGTACCTATGGAGTCCCCAGTGCAGAAGGTCTGAAAAGATAAGGACCTGAGAGGTGAAATGTAATAGGACCCTCACCATACTTTCAGAGGTGCTGGCTCAAGGGCAAAATATGGGTTTTCTCATTATCATAAACCAGCTCTGCAGCTGGGGATGGGGAGCCCAGAAGGTATCTTCCCTTTTGCCTTAAGCCACCATCCTCCAGTAGGCAAGTTGAGCCTCAGGGTAGAAGGAAGTCTTGGTGTATGGAGGTGTAAAGGGAAAGCTCCTCCATCARGCTTTTAGAAGTTTTGACCCACCTGGTGGCTCGGCTACCAGCAACTTATCTGCTTGCCCCCTACCTTCTATACACTCTCATTTCTTACTGTTGAGAGAAGCACAAGTATTGTAGGGTCCAAATGCTGCTTCCCCAGGAGGGTGAGTAAAGATGGTAGTGCCAAGGGAGGTGAAATGAAGAGCCCTGCTCAACACAACTATGCCCTTGGGCTCTGCTAGGCTCTGCTCCATGAGCCAATTACAAGTTTGGTACTTTGGGAAATGTCAATTTTTGCTCTTATAATTTTATTAAACTGCTGCAACGGACTTGGCTCTGTGTTTTGGTTGCCWTAAGTGATTGAAATGAGAATGTACATATACCTTTCAAACTAGCATATAACCCAGGTAAACAGCCAGTTTTTCTATACTATTATACAGGATAGAGAATGCTATGAAGCAGCAGTATCATCCACTTTACAAGGGAGAGCAGAACTGTATAAAACTGCATCTTCTTTATTTTGCATACTTTAATTGTGGAACAAAATAAAACAAAAACACAATACAACATCCAACCCT